ACACACACACACACACACACACACACACACACACACACACACACACACACACACTGGTTTTTATATCCACACCTAACCCCCTGTTACATACAGCTGAAACCAGAAGTTTACCGTATAAAAACGCAGGTATTTTCCCACAGTCTTACCTTGTGGAGTTAAATTGGGGTCATAACTTTTGTTCAAAATAAAAATTGAAACTGAAAAAAGGAGATTTGAAAATGAAAAATAATTTTGAAACTGTAAAAAAAATCAAAACAGAAAAAAATTGAAACTGAAAACAATTATTACACTCTGGAAAAGTTTCAAACATCGTGTCTTTTTAGTTTCTAAATATTTTTTTATTTTGAACAAAAGTTTTGACTCCAGTTTYTCTCCATATTACTTGAAACCAGAATAAAGTTTAAAGCTGTTTAAATGTCTCTTTAGCTGCTGATTATCTTAAAGGCCTTTTAAAATATAAAATTATTAACAGAAGTGTTTCAGTCTGAGAAATGGGAGTTTTAGAAAGTAACAGAAACAGTTTCATAATCTTTTAGTTCTTTAATATTATTGTTATTTCTGTTTTAACCCAGAATATTTGTGTAAATCATTAGTTTCTCTGTTTTGTTTCTATAAATGAGCTTTAATCTCAGACAGTCTGAAGATGCTGCTTCATTTATTAAAACCAGTAAATGAATAAAACTTTATATCTGTGCGATATAAAAACACACCTGATGTTTGTGTGTCTAAAATCTGTCAACAAAGATTAAAACTGCAGGAAAAGAAGTCAAACAGTTTATTTCCATCTAAACAGTTTTAATCCTGAACATGAAAAATACATTTTACCACAATCAGAAAGATTATTTTACAGCCAAACAACAACAACATGTTTATCACCTGTCACCATGTTAACACTTCAAACATCGAACTGTTTGATTCCTGAGCAGCAGGTCATTCACAGTAAAATTTACTAAAAGATTTTTAATTGAATTCTGTTTAATGGAGATTTTAACTTTATGATCCTAAAGAGAACAATATCAAACATTCCTCAGATAAACTTTGATCAATTAAAAAGTTTATTAAATTCCACACATTGAGGTTATTTTCAGTCTTTTAATTCAGATCCACGTCTTGTTTTGATCAGTAGTTCARGTTGGTCCAGGCTCCCCTCGCTCTGCTGAAAATAAAAAAACACTTTAATGCTGTGAAATGAATCTTTCTTTAAACGGCTCAGAGGGGCTGCAACTGGTGGTTTGTGGGCCATTTTCTGTTTGTTGGTCTGTTGGGGTGACCATTATAAAACTAAAAATATGATTTTTACACTTTAGGACAAAAGAAAAAAACATTCATGTAAGCAAAAAAAAATGTTTAATTAACTTTTATTTCTTCTCAGCAACTTGTTTTAAATGTATTTTTAAAAGGTTAGAGAGACCACAGAGAGCAAACTGTAAGGTTGTGTTATTAAAGTGACCAACTAACTACTAACATGATGTAAACAACATGTTTTACTTCTTATATTTGTATTTACAGTGGGGAAAATAAGTATTTAGTCAGTCACCAATTGTGCAAGTTCTCCCACTTAAAAAGATGAGAGAGGCCTGTAATTGACATC